GCCGTCCTTGAGGCAGATGGCACTGAGCGGAGGATACGTGCGCATGATCAACGCGCTGCGACTGGGGGTGGCTGGAATGGACCCTTCCCGGTCGCGCGGAGTGATCCCGGCAGGGGTCTCATTCTTATTAGAGTTGGGAACCGCGACGTGCGAGTCCAGTGCGGTGTTGCACGACGCTCGCTGTGCAGCGAAGCTCTGATCACTCGAGAGATTGATTCGGGCAACGCAGCATAACGGATTGTGTTGGCATGTCTAGCTAGTCTACCTGCGGGGCGACTTGCCATGACCTGTGGATACTTCCCGACCAAGAAGGGAGTGCTCGAGATGACGAGTGCGAGCCGACTGTCTTTGAAAGTACACGCATCAGGAACTTCTTTCGCATTGACAGCGTAGTTCTGCCAGGTTGGCCAAGAGCATTCACGATTTACCTCTGGTGACGTATGCTGGCAGTTGTACAGTGGTGCACCATGACAACGAGCACCATCACCCGGCGCCTGGAGTCCACCAAACCCCGAGATGGCTTCGATCAAGACATGACGAAGTTCGAAGAACTGGCCGACATGCCAGCGCAGGGCAACAACGCCAGGGGGGGCCCAGAAGTCGAACCACCACAGGAAGACGGACTGCTTCCCACCGGCAGTGAGGAATCGGATGCGGACCTCGAGGCGCACATTATGGACGCGTGGTGCACAGTACTGCACGACGAAAGGGAACTGTTGGAGGCAACTCCAATAGGCGACCTCTACACTGCACCCACACATACGATTACTGACAAGAGCGCGCTGGTCACAGTAGCTGAAGAACAGCGGGGGCACCTGCCCAAGTGGGTTTACCCAGAGGACATGCGCAATCGAGACATAGCAGGTCCCATTGTGCTCCACGACGAAGATGATCGTTGCGGGCTGGACTCTGGCGACCAAGGACAATTCGTCGATTTCTGCTTTACGGCAGAAGTGCCAAAGGTAGTTTCATCCGAACAACTGCGCTGGATATTGGACTTCGACCGTGTAACCACTTGTGCGAATATATATATATATATATGACCGCTGCAGCTAGACGAGCTGTAGTCGTCAATGATGACGACCTTCTCGCGAAGGCAGATATCCAGGCGAATCCAGTCAAGTCGTCGAAGGTCTTTCATGCCGGACTCAGGACACGGTTCGACAACAAGTGTTCCTATATACGAGATATTGGAATGGCCTCCCGCCAGTGCCGCCGATACGGGGCGCTCCGGATGATGATGATGACGATGATGATGATGTTGATGATGATGAGGATGTTGGTGATGATGATGGTGGTGGTGATGATCATGACGACGATGACGACGATGACGGCGATGACGATGGCAATGACGATGACGATGATGATGATGATGGTGGTGATGACGATAATGCTGATGATGATGTTGCTGATGATGAGGATAATAAGGATGATGATGATTATGGTGACGACGATGATGATGATGATGATGATGATGATGATGGTGGTGGTGGTGGTGGTGTTAGTGGTGGCGATGCTGATGATCATGATGCTGATGCTGATGTTGAGGCAGCTGTTGAGCTTCTTGGGGGCCTTTGGGGGGTCCTTTGGGGCCTTTGGGGGCCTCTTTGGGGCGTCTTGGGGCCTCCTGGGGGCCTCCTGGGCCGTCTTGGGCCCTTCTTGGGCCGTCTTGGAGCCCTTTTGGGCGCCTCTTGGGCCCGTCCTGGAGCCCTCTTGCGCCGTCTTGGGGGCCTCCTGGGCCTGCGTAAGCCCTTCGTAGGCCGTCTTGGAGCCTTTTTGAAGGCCCCTTGAGCCGTTTTGGACACTATGAAGGCCTAAGGACGAACATGCTCGAAATGTAGGTATTCCTCAAGGAAATCTGCGGAGCCGCACCCCCCCCCCCCCCCCCCCTCTACCCCGGCAGAGCCTTCCTGCCCCCCCCCCCCCCCCCCCCCCCTCAACTCACACGCCGGATCGGCGGATATCAAAGCGTCAAACATTATGACTTTGAGGTGCGCATATAAATGGAGGTTCGTCGGGAATCAAGAGGGCGAGGTGGAACGTGCCATCAGATCACGCAGGGCACTTCGGGGTTGCGCGGGCCTCGAGGCCTTCGACGTGGAAGCGTTATCAGGCGCGGCGCGGCTTTCCAGCCAGCGATTGCCCGCCAGCGCGGCAGCGCGCAGGAAGCAGTGGATCCTTGCTCACCTTGGCATCGGCATGGCTTCACGGACGGGGCTGACTTGTCAGAGGCGCGCCGAAGCAACCGGTGAAAAGGGGCGCGGGGCATGCTTTGCATTGTTATCTTGAGGGGCATTTCTGCTCGGATCCCTCCCTGGTTTCGAGCGCCGCGACGAGTCGAGACATCGCTTGCAGCGCCTCAAACCAGTCACTGGTGCCAGGGATGCCCCAAGGGCCGCCTCACTGAGGCCGAGGAAGACAACGAGGGGCTCTGGTCTTAGTTCGGCCCACGTCCTACGACGAGCAGTTCGAAACAAGTCTATTCTTATTGCTGCCGAGCATGTTGACGTCATAAACATGGCTGGCGCCGAGGACATTGACAAGCGCGTCAAGTGCATTGAGGATACGTTGTGGAATGTGAACTCAGATGCGCACGCGCCAACTGCGCCGTGAGATATGCGAAGGACAGCGACGGCAATGTTACTCTTGGCGAAGATGAATTACATAAAACAGCTCCGTCCAATCCAGCAGCATGGACTCACGGGCGCAGATGCTGAGGCCAAGGCATCGAAGATAGTTACTGTCATGTTTGACAGCCTCAGAGACGCTTTAGCTGACGTCCTTACCACGCAAGTGTGGTTAATGGTATATGTTGTGTCACTACAGCGCGTTCAAGAACCGACCAACATGCATGTGCGACGACTGAACGCGATCGCCAGGAAGTTGCAGGCCTGCCCTCAGAAGATCGCCTATCAAGCGATGGCACCAATGGGCGAGGTCGACCTGCACAGCGACTCCGGCTACCGGCGTCTGAACGGAGATGCCGACGGCGAAGTCAAATGCCATGGTTTTCGCGGGGCAAACCTGCTAAGGCGTGAACACACGCATGCTGATATGCCCGTCGTCCATCGTGTCGACGCGTAGTGCAAGTCTCATCGCTTGCAGGTCCGCTAGAGCTACGCAGCGGTTCAGCGGAAGCGCTTGCAGCAGACCACAATTTGGAGGACTGCTATCCCACGATCGTCATTCTGCACGATCTCCACGCAGGGCCGCCGAAACCCACTCAACTGAAGGATATGCTTGAGATGGGCGGCCTGAGTGTTAAGGTCACCTTGACCATCGATGCAGAATATGTTTTCAAGTCTTTGTCAAACAAAGACCTGGAGACGCCGAGAAAGCGTACACTTTTTGGGACACATCAGTTGGATACGACAAATGATGGAGCGAGGTGTCGCGCATTGTGTACAATGGTGTGTCACTCGCGATCTGACTGCGGATGGCCACACCACGGTGAGCATTGACAGAGACATGCTCCTACAAGTCATGGGAGAAGTGCAATCTTTCACGCACGACCTGAAACTACATATTGCCTACAGTGATGGCCAGACGAGATCAGTTATCAGCAGGGTAGCTATCAGCAGGGAATAGTTATCAGCAGGGTAGCTTGCCTGCGAGGTAACTTGCCTGCAAGGTAACTTGCATGCGTGTCAACCTTCCTTTGTTGAGCCCGCCTGCTGTTGCCTACCTTGTGAATTGTAGCGTTTTGCTGTAAAGCTGGCTGCGGACTCGCGCTTCCTCTCCTTCCCCCCGATTCTAAAGGAGATTGGGCACAAGCGAGAGGTAGCGAACGTCTGTCCGCGGCCGTTTTTGCTCAAGTGGCCAGCCGCCAATATATGAGTGCGCCTCATCACGAGGCACATCATGTGCCATTGAGACCAAAACCTCTTTCGCTTGACATGGTTCGTCACTCCCGCGACTCTCCTGCTCTTGGGACCATCGTTACTACGGTATAACAGAGCTGGATATGGGCGTCGCCTTAGGCAAAGCATCTTGTTGGGCCTCCCGGCCGGCTTCAAACTTCCTGAGGCGGCCCCCTGGCCGCGAGGCGCGGTCAAGCGGGGGGGCCTGGGGCACGCTCAAGGTTGAAGCCGTGGTGTTTTTATATTCAAGAAGCTGCATTCAGAGGGCTCGCGTGACCTGCGGGCGTTCCACTTCGTGCCCCAGGGCACGGTTTTCGTCAAGATGTTCGTCCCCGCTGTGCCCCTACTTCGTGGCATGGTGGCGCGAGTGGAATAGTTGCACACCGGCAGTCTCGCCAGTTGGAATTTGCGCCCATCCGTGTTCCTCTCTGCTCTTCCCTCACGCTTGCCTCCTCCCTTTCCTTTCCCCCTGCCTGCTCCTCCACATTCCGCCTCGCTGCCTCTCATCTCGTCCGAACGTGCCCTGACCTCGGTCCCGTCCTCAATTCACCTCCATACCTTCCTCTTCGGCCATTTCTCCTCTTGAGAGAGCGGCGTGCTCGTTGAATTTGAACCCACTAAAGCAGGAGCCCGTGTCGACCTGACACAATGTACGTTCGTTTGTGAGGTCGAGATCGGCACCCAAAACATGCAGCCTTCGCAGCTCTTCAATATTCGACCTCGGGTTCGCACGCGGATCTCTCTCTCTCTCTCTCTCGTTTTCCCTGTCTGTCGACCCCGTTCACCTGGGCAGCAGGCGCGAGACAATCGGGGCCCAAGCGAGGTTCAGCAGCTGAGCAGGGTTGCAGCGAGAGCCATACCCGGAAGAGGCGCAATCACCCCTATCACCACCAGCCTGGCGTACCTCCAGACCCAGGAATAGTATATGGCGACCCTGAGGGCTGACTTGGACGGTAGAGCGGCGCATATGGCACACCAACGTCGACGTGTTGTTGTCGTTTGTATTCTAAGTTCTTAGAAGTGGTTTTTCCATCGCCTTTCAGCCGATCAATCATACCTCCAGGCTCCATCGCATGGGCCCCAGACGCGAGGACACGAGAGAGGGAGAGGGAGAGGGAGAGCGAGAGAGTCGCCCGCCAGGAGCGAGAGGCAGCAGTGCGACCCCCACGCTGCCACCGCAGGCGCACCAAGGGGAGGTCGGGGGGGGGAGGTTGGGGTGGGGGGAAGGGGCAGGGGAAGGCTGCGAGGAATATCATTGAGTCGCAACAGTGATCAGCGACGCGTGGATTGGCGACGGGTCCCGCCTCTGTACAGAATCGGTGTGCTCCATCGCCAAATCAGGCGGCATTGGCCTCATGTTTCGTGGGGACCTTCCCCGATCCAGGGATCTGGCGCCAACGCGCAAGATCCACGGATCCATAATCCAAGTTGGCGCGTGCCCGCGAGAAGGTTTTCCTTACGGATGCGCCCCCAGTTCTTCCATGACTGACCTGGCGGCTGGTGAGGGGTGAAGGGCCCCTTGAAGCCTGAACCACAGTTGTCGAATCCTGCGACACTGGACTCCAGCGCTTGTAGATGATTATGTTGGTCCCAACTTCTCCCTCACTGCCTCTCGCACGGCTTTATGTCTGCACTTTGTAGTAGACGGTCTTCGCCCACGCATGTTTCACATGAGGTGATCCGTGCGTTTTGGTGAAGATTGTAAGGCACGAGCCCAGTTGTATCGACAGTGCCTGGTGCCATGTTCTGCCTTCTCGTGCGGACGGATCTCCTTGCTGTAGCTGATAATCCAGCGGCTTCTGACCCCAGCGCTAAGAGCTGATGATATTGGTCCCCCTTCTCTCTCACATGCTGCCACTGCCTGCTTGTGCGCACCAGCAGCCGCTGCTACAACTGCCTGCCTTCTCTCATCGACAGCACAAGCTGTCACTGCTTGCTTTTTCGCACGAGCTGACCCCAGCAGCATTGCAGCTGTAGCCCGTCTCGTCTCCTTTTCGCACCGCCTGACTGCCACTGCCCGCCTTCTCGGAGGGGTCTACTTGAGCAGCATTTTAGTTGTAGCATTGTGAGTCGACCTGCGAAGTTGATATGGGGTCAGACCACCGTGCTTTGCTGTTGCCTTGTGTCGTCGGTACGAACCGTCAACAGCCGAATACGAACAACACCCAACAACGACGCCAGCAACAATCGCGACCAGCAGAGCCTCCTACCGACACGACGCACTATCAGCAAACCCTCTCTGACAATCTCGACGTGCTACTCCAAGATACAAACTTCAACTACAGTGCGAACACATCGAACAATCAATCAGGGATGTGTTGGTACAGGTGCAGCCGCCGAGCACGAACCACCACTGCAGCAGTCACCCAGCAAACGACACGGTTTCACAGCTACTTCGACAAAGACGTGACACGCCCACCCTCGAGACAGTGGCACGAAACCAGCTAAACAAACGCATCCGCAAAGAGATCCAGGCCATCAAAAGAGCAGTCCGCCGGCCACAATGGACGCACCTTGTCAGAATACAAAGACCTACGGCGCATTCGCGTGACCAACTGCGTCAACACGTCGCATATTTATCACAAGCATGACGGACAAGACTGGGCAGACACAGCATGATTGACAATCCATAGATGACGTGATTGCGATTTTTCCACGAGGAGTTATACAACGGCACAGCTTGCATAGACAACTCCGGCAGCCAATCTCCCAACAACACCGCGCAGCAAGACGCCATCCCACAGTTCACACGCGATGAACTGGAGACAGCCTTGCGCCAACTGCGGACAAACAGAGCTGTCGACGTCTCCGGAATATCTGCTGACATGCTGAAACCTGGAGGGCATGCGCTTCGTTCCGTGCTCCTATATACGAACGACAACATTATTCTGCCGTGTCACCGACACCGACCAACTGGCGGCACACAGTGATTCAAGTCCTTCACCAACGCGGAGACCCGCAATTGACAAAGAACTACCGACCAATCGCGAGCATCCCGATGTTGTACACAGTGCTCTCACGGCTCATCTACAAACGATTACAGCCACTATTAGTGAGCAGCCAGAGCGCCAGGCAGGCTTCCGACCCCACCACAGCACGACTGAGAATTTGTTTACGACAGCAATATTGCAGGACATTGCAGACGAATGGCGATCAGCATATTGCCGGCAGCCGTAGACTTCAAGAAAGCATTCGACAACATCACGCACGCGAGCATTTGGAGGGCACTTGCCGAGCAAAATACGCCCACGTCGTACATCGGAGCATTGTTGCCAAAACTTTAGCGGGAGCAGACAGGCTCAGTACACACAGACTGCCGGAGCAGACCATTCAACGTCTTACGAGGCACGAAACAGGGTGACCCCCTCAGCTTTCTACTCTTCAGCAGCGTGTCCGAGAGCATCATGCGACGAGCAAAGACGAAATGGGCAACAAGAGATTCCGGCTTCAAGCTACAAGCGCACGCTAACGACCAGCTCACCAAGAGATTGTTTTTTTATCCTCTGGGGGGTAACGCTCGTTACCCGGGCCTCTCCCCCCCCCCCCCCCCCCCCCGGTACCGCTCGTACGCGGGGGGGGTCTCGGTCTTCCCCTCCAACATGCTGGTGCCCGAAGGCATGCGCACTGTGGTGTGGTGGTCGCAGGCGCACTGTGGGCGCTCGCAGGCCATTGCGGCGCTCGCATGCGCGATGCTGGTGCTTGCGGGCTTTGCGCTTGTACTCGAATCGTCGTCGTCGTCGTCGACGGCGCCCGAAAAACGGCCTCCGGAGTCCGACAAAGGCACAAAAACAACGTCGTCGTCGTCGTCGTCGTCGTCGTCGTCGTCGCCGTCGTCGTCGTCGTCGTCGTCGTCGTCGTCGTCGTCGTCGTCGTCGTCGTCGTCGTCGACGGCGCCCGAAAAACGGCCTCCGGAGTCCGAAAAAGGCGAAAAACGTTGTCGTCGTCGTCGTCGTCGTCGTCGCCATCGTCGTCGTCGACGGCGCCCGAAAACGGCCTCCGGAGGGCGAAACAGGCGGCAAACGTCGTCGTCGTCGTCGTCGTCGTCGTCGTCGTCGTCGTCGTCGTCCTGCTCTATGGCCTTCCCCCCTAACATGCTGGTGCCCGAAGGCACGCTGTGCTGCTCACAGGTACACTGCGGTTCTCGTGTGCTACCATGGCACACGCAGGCTTGTGCGGGGTGTTCGAGGACGAGTTGCGCTGCTCGCGAACGTTTTCGGTGCCGACACGGTTTGGCATGCTGTTGTATACGCGCGCGTTGTGGCGTTCGCAGGCACGCTGGTGGTTCTCTAGCGCCCGCTCACATGTGTGCCGCCGCGGTCGCCGGTGCTCACACGCATGGCGCCTTGACCGCAGGCGTGGCGCGGTGATCACAGACCGCGATGGCGGGGATAAGGAGGAGGAGGAGGAGGAGGAGGAGGAGGAGGAGGAGGAGGAGGAGGAGGAGGAGGAGGATGGGGAAAGACAGTTTGTCATCCACGTTGTTGACGACGACGTTGGCGTCGTTGACGGCGCCCGAAAAGATGGGGATCGTTGACGGCGTCGTTGACAGGAGGATGGGGAAAGACAGGAGGAGCATGGGGAAAAACGTCGTCGTCGTCGACGTCGTTGACGGCGCCCGAAAAACGGCATCCAGAGGCCGCAAAAGGCGAAAAACGTCGTCGTCGTCGTCGTCGTCGTCGTCGTCGTCGTCGTCGTCGCCGTCGCCGTCGCCGACGTCGTCGTCGTCGTCGTCGTCATCGTCGTCGTCGTCGTCGTCGTCGTCGTCGTCGTTTTCGTCGTCGTCGTCGTCGTCGTCGTCGTCGTCGTCGACGGCGCCCGAAAAACGGCCTCCGGAGTCCGAAAAAGCGAAAAACGTCGTCGTCGTCGTCGTCGTCGTCGTCGTCGTCGTCGTCGTCGTCGTCGTCGTCGTCGACGGCGCTCGAAAACGGCCTCCGGAGGCCGAAACAGGCGGCAAACGTCGTCGTCGTCGTCGTCGACCTCGTCGCTCGTCGCTCGTCGATCATCGTCGTCGCGCGCGCGGGCGCGGGCGTGGTGCCGGGACCACGCGGCGGGCTTTGCGCTTGTACTCGAATCGCAAGCCACTGTGGTGCTCTCAGGCAGAGAGTGCTGCTCGCGCGCATACTATGGCGATCGCAGAGCGCCCCTGCCTCGCCATACCCCGCCCAGCCCAAGCGTTACCGTTACCCGGGGGGCACGACCGCCCCCCCCCCCCCCCCCCCGGGTAACGAGCGTTATCGGCCAGAATAAAAAAACAATCTCCAATTTATGTTTCGCCGACGACATTGTTCTCTTCGCCGGGTCTCTGAAACACATCACGCACGTGCTTTTGATTTTATTACCGAAGCGGGGAAGGTGGGCATGGAGCTTCACCCAGATAAAACAAGTATCTTGCACAACGGTTACCGACCGCCGCGCGGCGAGCATGCTCCAGTCAACGTGCAAGTGCTCGGCATGGAGATCGAGATCCTCCCGCCTTACCGCGCTACCAAGTACCTCGGGTGACACCTACAATACTCCTACACCCCATGCAGCCGAAGTAGAACACCGCATTGCCACAGCATGGTGGAAATTCCACGCCTTGAAACAGGAACTATCTGGGCCCACACACGATCTGACCGACTACGCCTCTTCAGCGGAATATCACACCTGCTATAATGTATGGTTGCGGAGCTTGGACGCTAACAGCTGGCTTGGAAAACCGATTCCAGCGAACGCAACGACAAGCGACAATTGCTTCGCATGATTGTACGAGTACCGAGGCGTAGATCCACACATGCCACTACACAAGCAACGCAGCAACCACCCGAAAATCAGACAACCATCAAAACGACCAGTCAAAACGACGACAGCGACGACGAGGACGATGGTTGTGATGTGGGCAGTGTGTAGCCGAAACCTACACCGTCAGATGATGAGGAAGAAGCGGCCGAAGTTGTGGAACTTAGGGTCGACTGGATTAAGAGGGCGACACAAAGAGCCGAAGCGACATTATCCAGACCACATATCAACAGTTGGGCGTCCACCGTGCGCTATCGAAAATAGCAGTGGATACAGAAGTTGAGTGCTACAGGCGAGCGTGAATGGACGCGGCAAGTGATCCAGTGGGGCCCACAACGCGAACCAGTCTACACGGCCAAGCGCAAAGCTGCACGACCCAAAACCAAATTTGCTGACGACGTAA